GCTGTGTTCATCCAGCTCTACACCTTGTTATCTCAAAAAGCTTCAACATATGTCTCTTTGCAGAAATATTTATGACGTTTTGTGATTTCAATCTTTAGCTTGTCTCCCCTTTCCCCTGCCTCAAATTTCGCCACTATAATCCTCCTTAAAGCCCTTTATATAAATGTCTCTTCCCATCTTCACTGCAATGCCCCAAGCTTGCAATTTCCCATGGCCTAATTTAACATTCTCTAGGGAGAAGAGTAACAGAAATATGAACTAAGATTGGAGGGAGTGAGGAAATTTCATGGATCGCAACAATCAGGGGAGGTGATGCGAACTTCCTTAATCCATTGCTCAAAGAAATGTTGGAAACACATTTTTACACTTTTGTAGCTACATTACAAATAGCGGATCGAAGAAGTGTCATCCTAAAATGAACTAGATGGAGTGAATGATCTCATCAAATAAGACTCAGGAAATAACGTTGGTCACTAAAGTAAGCATCAACTCCTTACCCTCCCCACCTTATCTAATCTCTATAGGATGATCTGTCAAAAGGAAATGAAGAATGCAGTGAAATTATTTTGCTAGGCTATCAGTTGGGAAAAGCAACCTTCTTGCTCAACAGATTACAAATTACTGCTGTTTGAAATGCAGCACGTTTTACATTAATACTTTAATCTCAAATTGAAGGAAAATGTATTTAAACTCACCAAACACTGTTCTGGCTGGGACAGATTCTCTGTTCAACCAAAATGACATCTGGGATAAGATAACAGTCATAATGCAGGGGAGATAGGTTTGAATGACAAAATAACCGATTTTTCTCTTCAAATGGAAATGTGCTGTCATTATTACATATTCGCCTGTGACAAATAAAGGGAACAATACAAGAGAGAAATCATGGATTAGAAAGGCATTGGCATTAAAAATGGGATTATTCCAAAATAATTTGTTAACGTACATTTGATATGAGGACTGCAAGCTTCATCATTCACATCATATGTTCATTGAATTTATTTGCTCATCAAAGACTCGTCATAGTGATTTTCATTGACCAGTGATGACTATCCAAATTGATTCATGATTAATCTGTATCACCTGTACATGTCCTGCCACGGATTACTGAATTGTATTTATTATTGCTTGACTTATGAAACCAAGTGATTGAATTAACTATGAAGGAATACTGCATAAAGTAATGCTCATTTTCTCAGTGCAGAAAATATTCCTACATCAATGGCTGCAGAAATGGCCACAGTTCGTAAGCACGTCCACTTTTTATTTGAAGTACAAAACACTTGAGATTAGACGGAATTAAGGTGCATTTGAATTAGATTTTGCTTAGCATTGGGTTTCATGAAGTATGACAGGGGAAATAAGTGAAAAAGACAGTTTTCTTTATTCTAAAATCACACTTCCATAATCTTATTCAGCTGAAGCCAAAACATTGAATGCTTTCAAGGGGTTAGATGTCGTTCTTTGGGATTAAGGGATCAAAGGATATGGAGAGAAGAAGGGAACAGGATATTGAGTTAGATGATCAGCCATGATCATATTGAATGGCAGATTAGGCTTGAAGGGCTGAATGGCCTACTGCTGCTCCTATTCTATATGTTTCCATTCTAAGAGGCATTCACTGGCCGCCTACTTCACGAGGATTGAATGTTTGCACAATAGCTAGTCTATACCAAGTATAAGAAATGTTTGGAGCAATATGGGCCAAGCGCAGGCAGATGGGATTTGTTTAGTTTGGGATTCTGGTTGGCATGGACTGGTTGGACCAAAGGGCCTGTTTCCATGCTGTATGACTCTAAGACTCTGTACCAAAATAGTCTCAAGGAAGTATCAGCCAATAGTCAGACAGATGGTACTACTTCTGCCTTCTTGCACTCTCCTTTAACTTTTAGCTCCTGGAACCCTATTATTCAGCGCAGAAGCAAATGGTAACCAGTTGAAAAGTCCCCCTAGGAGGTGCTATCAACTTGTTCATATTGGTACCAGTCCAGTTCTTGGAGGCACAGGATAATTCCACCCCATTGTTGATACATTCAATTTTACTTCAGAATTCTGACAAGTTTCAGGCATTAGGGTTTGCATTTTGGCTATCAAGAGATGATGAACCAAAGTTTAGTTCAAGTATTATTCAATAAACAAGCTGGATAAATAATATTGATGCTTAACTTGCTCAGATCATAAGCTAGTAAGTAATTTAGAACTGAATATCTTCCTGTAGAAACAGTCTTGAGTAGCACGTACATGGAGCTTTGATATTAGATATCAAAACAATTACCATGGAGTCAACACTGGGAGTTGGGTAAATGACCACAGTGGTGCTCAAAATGTGTACAAGTGGTCATCTCTCATAGCCAGAACCTGCACATGGAGTCTTCTAACATGGACAGGCTGTTGTACTACAATTGCTACATGCTTCTATCCGACCAGAAAGCTCTTCCATTCTTAACACAAAGGTTATCAAAAGGATTTGCAGATTTATAGTTGACCCGTTTGACCACATTATGACACACCTTTGCTGGCCATCAAGAACTGAGGTGGGGCTCAGAGCTGATAGTTCAGAGATTGGGTGTGATTGTGGTAGAGGACTGCCAGGTTCTCAAAGCAGCCGTGAAAAAAATGTTGTGTTGATCATCAGACCAAGAATGTCAAACTGCAAATATCCCTGCGTTGCGTGGATGCAATGTGGTCAGATGCTTGCCAAGTAAGCAAACGTCCTGGTCAACTGTGTCTGTTTAAATTTATATTACAGCAACATCACTGCACATTCTGCAGAAGCTGGTTTGTATACCAGGCATGTTTGGTGCCCTGTAACGCTCTGGGCACTTTTTGTTTCCAGCCTGTAAAACACATAATGTATGGATAGCTGAGGAAGAAATGCTTGACTTCAGGAAATGGTGCATCACTTCATCTTTTTCAACCTTAATAAATAATAATCACTTCCTTTGGGCAATTGCCCCTATGATAAGGTCAGGTGAGAGTGACTGCCCCTAACATCAAGGCAACATTTGAGCAAGTATAGAATCAAGGAAACTGAGCAGGACTGGAGTCATTGTAAATCAAAGGGAAACCTTTCCACTGACTGGAGTTATACCTTGCACAGAGGAAGATGGGTGTGGTTGTTGGAGGTTGTTACCTCAGCCCCAGGACATCTCTGCAAGAGTTCCTCAGGGTAGCGTCCTCGGCCCAACCACCTTCAGTTTCTTCATAATGATCTTCTCTCCATGATAAGGTTAGAATTGGGACTGTTCACCTATGTCGCACAATGTTCAGAACTATTTGAGACTCCTCAGACTCTGAAGCAGTCCATCTCCGTACTCAGCAAGACATCACGTTTCCAGTTGCTTGCCACTTCATCACATCACTGTGTTCCCATTGCCAACATTTCTGTCTTAGTCGTGCTGTAGTGTTCCAGCCAAGCTGGAGGAACCACACCTAATTTTCCACTTGGGTGCCTTTTGGCCATCAGGACTCAGGACCAAGTTTAACAATTTCAGAGCATGAACACCTCCTTCCATGAGTATTACCTACCCCAGTAAGTCCAGTTCCTAGTATAAAATGGGTTTCTTTCGGCACAACCCCAATCCACTTTCAATTACTCGTAGCCCCCATTGTCACCGATCTCGCCTCTCTTCTTCCCTGGTTTATTCTCAACAATCCCTTTGTGTGCCTAGGATAACAAGGTGTAGAGCTGGATGAACACAGCAGGCCAAGCAGCATCAGAGGAGCAGGAAAGCTGACGTTTCGGGCCCAGACACTTCTTCACCTTTTTCTTCTCTCTCTTTCTCTCTCTCTGGGATTCATCTCCACCTATCCACTCACTCCTTTTCCTCCTACCCATCCATCATCAGCATATGTACCACCTTCTCCAAGCTGCTACTAGTTCTGAAGAAAGGTCACTCAAACCATTTCTCTGTTTTGTTCTTCTTACAGATGCTGCCTGATCTACTGAGTTTCTCCAACAATTTCTGTTTTTTTTTTCATGTTTCAGATTGCAGTTCTTTGTTTTGTTTTACGTCTTTCATCATTCTCCTTGGCAAGATGTAGGCTCTTTCATTTGAACAAGTAGATATGATTTGGGAAAGGAATGAATCACTTGTGTACATGTGCAAATATGGCTTAATATTACACTTTAAATAATTTGAGAAAAAACTCACTTAAAAAAGGACATACATAAAATTACATTTCTCACTTAAGGAGATGACAGAATGCCAATGTGGTGACTAATGAGCATTAGACATTATGTAATTTATAACAATCTATACATTAGCACAAGTTAACATTTTGACACAATAAGCAGCATTTCAGAAAAAAATGAACACTTAGTAGAATGCACAGACTTTACTCGTTGCTCATATGTTTGAAAGGCCATTTTTGTCTCTGTAGCAAATAGTACCTGAGCCCTGGCTTTGCAATATTCCATAGACTTTAATTACAAGTTAGTTTTACACTGATTGCTATACAGTACCATATCACATTTATATTTTTTTTATAAGTATTTACATCTATCATATTTATAAAGTTATATCTTTTTATTCTTAAACTATTCAAAATGGTGCCAGATTGTGGCGACAGTTGAAGATTTTCACTGGATTTTCCTGTATTACTCACTGTAAAATGAAAGTGACAATAAATCGTTTAATTCAATTTGCATTTTGAAATGAATCAGACTGTATCAGTTTTAATGTAAACAGTTCAAAATGGGAAGTCACACACTGTAGTGAGTAGCATCTCTGCCCTTGAGCCAGAAGCTGAGTTTATGTCCCTCTTCACTTTCGTGTGTGACCAACCTATATATCCTTTCAACAAATGTCAATGGCAAACAAAAAGAGCAGGAGTGATTCCAGGTCAGGTAATGTCGTGTAAAGAAACTTAGACTGTCAACCATCACCCTTCATACCTCCAGACTGCAACATAAACGTTGCCACAGAAACTCTGATTCTTTGTGGATCCTTCCAGTTCTGAAGAAGGTTCACTAGACCTGAAATGTTGACTCTGCTTTCTCTCCACAAATGCTGCCAGACCTGCTGAGTTTTCCCAGCAATTTCTGATTTTGTTTCTGATTGTTCGGGGGTTCAGCTGACTGAATAGCTGGAGTGGATCAGATTAGTGCCAACAGCACCAGGGTAAATTTGGGACCGCTATATTTTCCTACCCATGATGGAAGACATGGCAGTATGGTTTTGACATCCCTTTGGGCAAAAGAACTGCTGAAGAATGTTTCTCTTTCTTGGCATTTTCTTAACTTTGATAAAGTACGATTGTTATAATTTGAAAACTTACTTTTAATTTTAGTTTCAGTATTGAGGATCATCTAACTTATTCTGAAGTTTGCCTGACAATACATCTTGTTGTTTTCATTGTTAAATGTTAAAGGGGACCAAATTTGTTTTATTGGGAAGGATGTGCAAGGTGTTTAGACACAATAACCAAAGCCTCTGATTCTTCAAAATCACAGAAGAGTGGGTCAGGTTGTAAACAGATATGTTTTAAATTATCTCCAAGGTCCAAGAGATTTGAGGTTTCAAGAATAGCTAATCAGCATTTCTGTCTAGCATAAAAAGTCTGTGAGTCGTATTGGCATGGACATGGATTTCTTTTATGAGAAAGATTTCTAAGACTTCCCTGAAAACTCACAGGCACAGGCGGTCAGTAAGAATTCAGGATAGGGGAAACAAATATAAGCAACTGGGGTTCACTTTGGGTGAACGCAAATGGGAGCTAATGCTCAGACTGGAGAAAAACAAATCATGAAGAGTTAAAATGAGGCTGAAAGAGCTGCCAGGTATACTAGGGGAAGAAACGCTGGGAGAAAATCCTCATTGTAAAATACATTTCTAAGATTAAAAGT